CTGGATAACCCAGAGACATAGTATGAAACCAAACACAACTGTCAAAAATAAACAAATAAATAAGGCCGGTGGTGGTGGTGGTGGCGGTACACGCCTTTAATTCCAGCACTCGGGAGGCAGAGGCAGGCGGATCTCTGTGAGTTCGAGGCCAGCCTGGGCTACCAAGTGAGTCCCAGGAAAGGAGCAAAGCTACACAGAGAAACCTTGTCTCGAAAAATAAAAAAATAAATAAAAAATAAAATAAAAAAGGGAGGACCTGACTGCTCCTAGATATGTGGAAGAGGTTTATTGTAGATAAAAGGGAGAGCATAGCTGGAGGCAGGGAGAGCTGGGAGAGTCCAGAGTGGACACAACCAGACTGAGCCATGTGAGGAGAGGGGGTAAGGGAGAGGGGGAGCCAGACCTAGAGGCCAGGAAGGTAAAGAGTAGACAAAGGGGCCAGGTAACCAAAATGGTTGGATTATATAGGGAAGGAAGCTGGGGGGAGTGAGAGGGGAGCCCAGCCCATTAGCTCCGCTAAAGAAATTGAGGTTAGGGGGCAGGGTATGCTAACCAGGAGGAAACAGTTAGGGACTGAGGGAAGCTGCGAGAACAGGGTGGCCAGGTCTAACAAGCTAAGTGGGCACCTTAGCCGTTTGACTTGGGTTTGAGACCCAACAAGAAGAAGGTCAGCTTAAAAGAAAAAATAAAATAGAATTGACTCAATGAGCAGAAAATGTGTGTACACAGAAAATCCTCAGAGGAGTGTGTCACATCTTGGCCTTTTGGCTAGGATCAAGTGTAGAAAAAAATGGCAAAGAAACTACAGAAACCAGTGCAATGAGTACATGAGCTTTGCACAGTCAGAACTCAAGGTCAGTCTTTCGTAATGTCTTACACTAGCCATGAAGACCCAGAAACTTAGAGAAATCTAAGTACCACTTCTTTAGCACCAAAAATACAATTACAAATCTAACAAGATCTTCATGCCAAAAATAAAAAGTTACTAATGGAAGAAATCAAAGCTCTAAGTAGCTGGAATTCTGAGGTGCTTGTGAGTCAGTCGACTTAAGCTGGTCCTCCTTACACTGAGCTTCTAATCTAACAGAACTCACAATCAAATTCTCCCCAGAAGTGTTGTAGAGACCTACAAGCGGACTCCAGGATGTGTCAGGAAAGAGGAATGATCTAAAATAGCCAAAATACTTTTGAAAGTGTTATCAGTGTTGAATAAACCCAGGTGCCTGACTTGCACTCTAGCTCAAATCCTGCAGGATGACGATGGTGGTAGTTATGGCAAAATGGTGGCCAAATATCAAGGAGCCCAAACTGGGAATCCAGAGACACAACTTCACAAACACAACAAGGGACAAAGTATTCTGTGAAGGAAAAGAATGCAGACTCAAGACTTCATATTAATTGCACTGATGACTGTTATGGAATATTTGTGTACACTATAAAGATGTGTCTCTGCCTAAGGCACCTTCTGATTAGTTTAATAAAGAGCAGAATGACCAATAGTTTGGCGAGAGAGAATAGGTGGGACTTCTGAGGAGAGAGATGAACTCAGGATGAAGCTACACAGCTTGAGAAAGGTGTTAGGGAGACACTGAAGAAGATGGTCATATGGTACAGAGGAGAGGTAACTGAGCCTTGTAGCAGAACACAGATTAATAGGAACAGGTTAATTTAATTTATAAGAACTATGTGGGGAAAAGCCTAAGCTAAAGCCAAGCTTTCATAATTAATAATAGGTCTCCATGTCATTATTGGGCTGGCGGTCCCAGTGAGAAAGTTCTAATACAGACAACATTCTGGAGGAGTCAAGTCCATAGAGATGGATCAGCAGAGACTGTGGTTGAGGGAGCAACTGAGTGCAGAGGGGAGCAGGAGTCTTTGGTAAGTGATGTAATTGCTTTATGTCCTCGTTGTGCTGACTCCATGGCTCAATGATTTGCTCCCAGAACTACACACCAAAATGAATGAACTTTTCAATATGTAAATATAAAATCACATATCTGAAATGAGATCCTGGGGCTGGGACTCTGCCAGATACATTTTGTTTTGCCAGCTAGACCCCTTTAGACTCTCTCACTTGGAGTTCCTAAAAGGACATCAGAAGCCAAAACCAAGAAGGATCTGATCTGGCTCCTTCTAATTTCAATTTCTGTTTCTGTCAGCATCACTCACACACTGATTTACTCTGACAGCCAAGGTGTTTCCAATCCCTAGCTTGGTTTAGTTTTTCTGAATTCCTAGCACGTTCTGGATGCACCTCCTCCCCTGCCCACCTATAGGATATCTGCATTTGTACTCTTAAAACAGCCTTACATTGTGGGAGTCTGTGGGAGACCAGCTCCAACTTGCTCCCATGCATCGAAGGGTTCTTGGGTGGAGGAAAGAAGAATGAGGAAATGATAGAAAGAGAAGATAAGAAAGACAGAGACACAGGATAACTTCGGGTGGGCACTGGATCAATACCCAGCCGCCCAAAGCTTTATTCAAAAGGGCTTTTTATGGTATGCCAAGGGAAGAGGCAAAAGACCTCCCCCTTGCAAGATCAAAGCACACCATACAACCAAGTGTAGACCCTTCCAAACACCTGGTAAACATGCCACCCGTGGCCAAATCATCTACTTATGCAGCCCTGCTGGGTAAAGCAAGCTCAGATTCTCTGACCCTGAGTAAGGTCTCACTAGGAAGCCTCTGTGGGCCACCACATCACATCACCCCAGCACCCAACCAAGAGATACTGGAGTCTGCTAATTTCCCTTCTCAGTGGTTTAAGAAACCTTCTCCAAGCTTCTCAGTTCTCCTTCATCTAGCCCATAGATGGTAACCAGTATACTCCATACTCTCTTTGGTCTTTTCTGTACTCTAACAGCTATGTGTGCCATTGTTATATTAAACATTAAATATTTCCAGTTAAAATGACCAATGTAATTTGTTTTTTAAGCTAGAACTTGACTGATAGAAATCCAAAGTCTTTTATGGGACCTACGGAATCCTGCATGTTCAGTCACCCCATTTCATCTCTGGACTCATCAGTTTCTTCTACATCACTTACTCTATGTCTGCCTGCCAATTCACAGAAACTGCCTGCATGTTAACCTCACCACAACAATGGAGGAAACTATTGCACACATAACCTCGTCTCTCTCTCTCTCATGCCAATAAGTTGCAAGAGTTAAACAGATGGAAAGGAACTTCAATGTCAAATGGGCCATAAGGTATGAACCAGAGCAATACAAAGACTCAACATCAGCCAAGATATTATACGTAGATGTATAAAGAGCTGGGGAAGGTTAAACCATTACTGCATGTGTGAGAGTAAAGAATTAAGAAATAACAAATGTACTAATTTTCCTTGCTAAATAGGCATTGGTTATGTTCAGCATCTTTCCCATTTAAAAAAAAATACATGGTAAAAGCCTTATAGATACACTGATACAGTAATAGATTGGGTAGAAGAAACGGATTGTAGATGTAGCAACACTACTTTTGATTTTTCTTGAAAGTAAGGGGTACAACGACTGCATTATACTGTATAAGGACTAGAACATTATATGCTTAAATTTTTTTTGATATGTCTCCAAAATGTAAGGGCCTATCATGTCAGGCAGGAAGGCCAAAAGATGGTTCACAGATCTCTGGAAAATGTCAGAAGACTTTGTTAATAACACAAGGCATGGTGGTTTCTACTGTGTGCTCTGAAAACCATCACAGATCTTCCACAGCTTATTGATGTGACCTTGAATCTCTCCTCTCCATGCCTTTGTCTCCTCAAATGTGAGTATCTTCCTATGGTTTGACCATGAAGACTAAGTCAATTCACAGGTATATAACAATTTCTTAGAACACTGGAATAATACTAAACACTCAAAAGCATTTATTATTATTATTATTATTATTATTACTATAATTATTATTACATAGGAAGACAAATTGAAATGGACTACCACAGACTCAAAACAAATGTATCCAAAATATGTTTTAATCTTGATGAAGTTCATAAATGGTACAATTATGACATTTCCTCAAATAAATATACAATCATGTTCTGAGACACCAAGGCACAGTATCTCCTCTAGCAAGACTCCCCAGAGGTTACAAGAGGCAGTGATTTCACATCTCCCCAAAGTTCACCAGGCTCTCAGAGAACCTGTGTGGTTTGCTGCTGGGGAAGCCAGTGGGAGACGCCATCACATTGACTGGCCACAGACTCAGCATAAACATGATGCAGACAAACAGAGAATTAACTTATTTATACTCAGTTTCATTCCTCTCAAGTGACCATGGTGATTTTTCTCCAGTATCTATCAGGATGCAAACATACACATTATCCATGGAGCCTTCTTACCAGGTCATTGTTAATAAAAACTAATAGACGTGGTTGAGTTCAGCGTCACATAACCTGAGATAAAGAGAAACAAAAAAAGAAAAGGAGAGGGAAGAAAAGGCAAAAGGAGAGAGGATAAGAAGGGAGAAGAATGAAAGAAGGATATGGACACATGAGTAACCACAATCATCCCTAACAATGATGATTTACGTAAATGGCTCCTCCACTAAGCAGCATCAGTGAATTCTGAATTTGGACTGTGAGGAGGCTTACAACACTGTCCCTATTAATACTGGAAGTGGCCCATGGTGTCCTGGGGATTCTGCAATCTCAGCACTTGGAAGCTGGGGCAGGATGGTCAGAAGTTCAAAGCCAGCCTCTATATACTGAGCTGGAAGCCAGCCTGGGCTGCTTGAAACTTTCTCAAAAGCAGAAAAGACACTAAAGATGCTGGTGGTGGTGTGCTCACAGCCCTCCAATCTGAACTGCTGGTAGTGGTGTGCTCACAACCCTCCGATCTGGACTGTTGGTAGTGGTGTGCTCACAGCCCTCCGATCTGAACTGCTGGCAGTGGTGTGCTCAGAACCCTCCAATCTGGACTGTTGGTAGAGGTGTGCTCACAACCCTCTGATCTGAACTGGGGAACACCAACCGAGAGCCCTGCAGAAGCTGCGCTCATCTGTGCGGCCCAGTAACAGGTAAGGTCTGCAGGCCTTTCCCTTTCCAAATCCAGACAGCATTTCTCTTCCTTTCTCTCCTTGGCAACAAGGCACTGCTTCCCTGTGACCTCTCCTGCCATTCTGATTTCAATTTCAAGCTCAGTTTAAGAAGGAACTCATTACCTCAGGAAGAAGACTAGTACTAGAGATAGGGGACCTGAAGGCCCTACCACTCTCGGTGGGCTTCACGATGTGACTCTTAGCTCCCAAATCCTTCCTCTCCCAACCCAGAGTACAAAATCACCTTCTTCTCGGGGCCATTAGCTACTCAGTCCTGAAGGTCCCTGCGGCGGCGGCCAAAGGCTTTGGAGCCCACATTGGTGGGCACGAAGTTGTCCTTCACCACACCCCCTGACCTGCTCAGCAAGCCCGCTAGCCGGTGGGTCACACAGGTGGCAGTGTTGCAGGATTTCTTCTGGGCAGTGATGCTGATATTCAGGATGGACAAAGAAGATAAGTCTTGTTAGTGAGGGCTGGGGAGGAGCCTACCCCCTGAGAACTCCATCCCTTAAACATACCACTTAACAGTAAGTGTTTTTCCTAGGTGCATTTACCAAAGTTGTTCAGGAAAATGACCCGAGAGTCTTTGCCAGAAACTATTCCCCAAACCATCACCAAAAAATAAAATAATATAATAATAATGATAATAATAATGATAATAGTAATGAAACTTACCTTGCTGAAGCTAAGAACAGCATTGGCAGCATCGTCTCAGAAGAACTTATCTGGTTCTTAGCATGCTGCTTGTTGCCATAGCTGCACACAAAGATGGCCCATCAAGCAAGCCCTGTGCCCACCTGAAGCTAAAGCTCTTTCCTAGGTCCTGGCCACTCCCAAGCTTCAGAAGTAGACCAAAGCAAAGATCTCTACAACTCTGATTCTTCCAGAAAAAAAAAAAAATGAGTGAGATGGAAGGGATGTGCTTATTCGGGTATTCAGAAGCAGGAAGTGAACAATTCTCTAAATGCTCTAGAAGATTCCCTCACTGTCTCTTACCTCAAAGGTGGCCTATGACTTCTGTTCTCTCCCTTCCCATCCCGAGTCACTGACATTCTCCATCCCACAGGAAGCTGATGTTGCCAGCTTCGAACCCAGAGAGGAATGCACATGCAGCAAGTGAGAAAGTAGAGGCCAGAGAGGAAACCAAGAAGGACACAGAAGCTCTTGGTGGCACCCTGGACACTTCAGGCCCCTCTGCAAGCGACCTGCGGTGTTCTTTTCTTGTCGGAGTTTCAAGGCCAAGGTCCATAGCAGAGAAAGTGGGAAGGTTGTTCAGCTCCTCTACTTACATGCCCAGAACTCATGTATTTAGATTCCCATACCACCAGGAGCTGATCCCATGGGCAGTCAAAAAGTTAAACCAGTCAGGAGACTAGAAGTTGGGACAGAGGGTGGTAGGAGGTCAGTTCACACAGACTCCATTGGGAAGGCTTGGGGGTGTGGTGGGCCAGGACTGTGCAGGGAAGGGCCGAGGAATGGGGGGTCTTTCTGGCATTCCATGTCAGTCTTTCATGCTATCAGGGACTTCTCAAGGGGGATGAAGGTCAAAACATGCTTTTCCTTGGGGAGTGCTGAAGCCGGACCAGAGTTGGTCTTTTTCCAGGCACGGGGCACACAGGCAGCATCTGTAACAACATGCACACCTCTAAAGATGCTCTGGACCTACCTCAGACACCATTCTGCCTGTCCCAGACCCCTCGTACCCTTACAACTTCTCCTTGCGAATGTGAAATGATGGCTCCTTGCCAGTGTGAAAGAACAAATCCTGAAGCTGCTGAAACATCCTGCCATTCTAGTCCATCCTCTGGCATCACACTTACCTGCCCTACTTCAGCCCATGCGGCGATGTCTCCCCATAGGCCCATGTCCAACTCCCACAGTCAGCGATTCTACATCTCCTCATTTCCTTTCCCACGAGTTTTCAGGAGAAAACAAAATCTTAACGTGTCTAACCGGTATGAGTCCCTCTCGTGGCACCGGAACCTCTGTCATCTATGGAGGGCTGGGAACAGTTAATTAGTTCCTTGGACTTCCGGTAGTGTCTCTGTACCTCTCTGGAATAGTTAGTCCCTCCTGAGCATATGGGGGCCAGGTGAGGAGGAGCCCTACCTGGAACTCTCAGCCTCCTGCTCCTCCTGCTCCAGCTTCCTGGCCTCCATCAGCTCGTAGTAGTTCTGCACCAGTGCAGCCAGCAGAAGTCGCTTTTCCTGCTCGCTGAGGGTAGCCAGGTCTAGGTTGCTCTCCAAGGCTGACCTGTGAAGGCGGCAAACCTAGGATAGATTCTCATTCCCTGCCTTTCTCCACCCCAAATAAGCAGCCAAGCTTCCAGATTCCTCCCCTGCTTCCTTCCTCGGGTCTTAGAGCTCAGGTCAGGAGGCCAGAGCCCACAAGAGGGCGCTGATTTACCAATAACCAAGTAGGGGCTTTGGAGCCACAGGGGTGACAAGATCCCCCGGTAGTAGGAGGAGTGTCAAGCTGCACTCCTGATTCAAGCTAATTTACCCGAGAGGTGCTGCCTGGAGGCTGCTGGCCAGGCACAGGATCCACACGCTGCTGAGAGCCAGAAAGGGAAAGAACTTCCAGAAGCCCATGGTGTCTCTGTAGAAAGAGAAGAATGGTCCACTGCACGAGGACCATAGACCCAGAGGACCACAGACCCAGGTTCTAGTCCTGCCCCTGCCACAAGTGCCCTGCTAACTCTTCACCTCCCCCACCGCTGTTCCATTGTTTGCCAGAGGGCTGTTGGGGATCTCCAAAGCTACAGTTTAGTGACCGCTGTTCCATTGCTTGCCAGAGGGCTGTTGGGGATCTCCAAAGCTACAGTTTGGTGAGTGGCTTAATTGAGCAGAAATGAGTGGGGGAGGGTAGATGCGGTTTGCATTCTCTGGTCTGAGTTCGGAGGAGGGGCTACAAGCACTCATTCGCCCCAGCTTGCTGCGCTCGCCTGCCAATGCCCCTTTTGCTCTCCTCGGTGAAGAAAGCAAGAACCACCCAGAGCTCCCTGAAGCAGATTTGCTGTACCGCTGTTTTGGATTTCTCACAGGCTGAAAATTTTAGAATCACCTTTTCTGAGCAGCTGCCCTGGGGACGCTGGAAAGGTATCTTGGAAAGAGATAATCTCTCTCCAGCTGCAGAACTGAGAGAATTTTTTCGAGCCCCAGTTAAACTGCCTCAGAACCACAGAAGTGCTGTTTAACACCTGATGCTGGACTCCTCTCCACGGTGCACCCTAGATGCTTGCTGATGACCCCGGGCGCTAAAGGCTGGAAACATCTGAGAGAAAAGATCGGTGCTCCCCAGCCCTAGACCCAAGGACCTCCTATCCTAAAATTGGATAGGGTGAGGCAAGACGACTTCTCCCAAGGAGGAGCTATATAGACTCCTAGGTGAGGTCGTCCAGCTTCCAGAGGGGGTTTGTACTCCTACCGGTGTGCTCCAGAGTCCCACTCATCCTAGTTAAGAGAAAATGCCACGACCGCACTTTTTGACTGATTCCCGGCTGCAGGAAGGCAGAAATGGATATGGAGTGAAGAACCTGGCCAGCACAGGGAGCCAAGTCAAGCAGGTCGTGTAGTGGCGTGCGCCTGTAATCTGCATCCTCGGGATGCTGAGAAAGGAGGATCTTAGCGCGTTCAAGACCAACCAGAGCTATACAATGAGTTCCAGGCCAGCCTGAATTAACTACAGTGTGAAACATTGCATCAAAAACAACAACAACAAAGTAGACAAACTAATGGAGAGTGAGCTGAAGTTGAAAAGATAGTTCCTCACCTGGTAACCCGAGCGTTGGCACAGCGAACGTCCAGAGCGAAGCGTCCACTGGAGAAGAGCACACACCACTCGGCTGTAGATCCCTTGTCCCCAGAGTCCTGGTCTCTTATTCTCTGGTCTTGGGGGTGGGGGGTCCTCATTAGATCTCTCGGCCAATCAGAGCTCTGACCGAGCTTCCAGAGCGTCTTCCGTCATAGCTGCACTCCTGCGGCAAGGAAGCAGGAGTCCACTCCCTGTCTTTGCCTTGAGGTCATTGCTGAGGATCAGGGGTGGGGTAAGGAGACTGAGGGAGGGTGGATTCTCCCAGAATGTGTGAGCAAACTGGAGAGAGTTTGGCGTCAAGATCTCTTTAACGCCTGAACTCGAGCCTACAACCTTTCCCTGCCCCCCTCCTGGCTGGACTCCAGCAGGGTGAGCAGCAGTCCTGGGCTCTAAAAGGACTTCAGTTAGATACAGCCAGGAAGGTGACTGCTCAGGAAGGAGCGGGTCCTAGGATCCATTAGGGGACTTCTGGCATGCCTGTCCCCAACCGGCACTCCACAGTCCTTCACATCGCTAGCCTAAACGTGGTAGAAACTAGAGGGTATAGGGGAGCAGGCTAACAGGCATACATAGGGGACTGGACATTCTCTTCCCACGCCAGACCCTACAAATCCTGCACTGTGGTTTTTGTCTCCCCCATCCAAAACCCAGAACCTCATACTGCCACGGTGATGTAGGTTAACGCACTTCCCTGCGCCTCTGGCGGGTTTGTCAAGCTGTGGGGTTGGCGCTACCAGTGTGCCCAGGACTCCTCTCCCTTCCCCTCCCCGCATCTCTACTCTGCAGAGACTGATGGCTGAGCCAGGGTCCTGCACCCATCACTTGAGCTGGCGCTGCAACCCAGGGGTCTCTAGGGGACTTTCACATTCGCTCATCTGCTGGTCAGGACTGAAGGTGACTTTGGCATTCACGCGATCACTGAGGAGTGCTCAGCTTCTCTTGCCTCCTGCAGAAGGCTGTGAGAGCATAACCCAAATCAACTGAGCTCTGGCCAAAAACAACCCCCACGCTTCTGCTCTGAGAAACAGGAATGAATTATGTGCACACCGTAAGAGACACATCGCCACTCTACCACAGCCATAGACATCGATCGACGCACACCCATGCAAAAGGACTAAGCATCTCCTCTTTTCCTAAGCTCAGTTTTGTGAGTCCACATTGCCCATTCTCCCTGTTCTCAGGTGCGTGGAGAAGATAAGCCCGTGTTCGAAGTTACTGGAAAGAGAAATACCACCTACTCCCAAGGCTTCCGGCTTTCCCCTACCATAGCTTGATAGATGCACGAGGATCCCCCAAGTGCCCAGGGAGAAGGGGGGATTCCAGCAATGTGTAGAAGACGATGCCTGAGGCTTGTGGAAGTCCACACCTGGTGTTCAGTTTCTGGGAATCAAAGATGAACTTGGGGTATGTTTGTCCATGTCCTCTGAGTCATTTTCCTGTATCAGGTCCTATTTGTCAGAGCAAGGACAGATGGCAACACCCTCCACCAAGAAAAAGCCCCAACTGGGAAACTTCCACTGGCCTCCAATCTTCATGAGCAATGCAGTGAGCCAGAATGGAAGGCTGTTCCCCCAGGGACTAGTGAAGCTATATATATGTAGATCAAAGTTGCAGCCAGCAGAGGCACAGGATGGCTTTGTAATGAATGCCCATGCAGGGCACCCCACCAATGCTCTTTAAAGGATTTTCTTCATGAAACCAAGGTCTCTGCATCCATATCGTGGCATTCACTTCTGTATGAGAGGAGAATCGTGGACATGGCCTTTATTTGGGGGCTTCTCTCCCAAAGTCCTGAAAATAATGTGACATCTGTGCCCCTCTTCTGGGTTTTGGGCCTGGAGAGTGGCTGTGGACTGGTAAGTTTGTGAGGTGAAGAGCATCTGTATCCTGCACTACCAGTCCCCATACTACTGTCACTGTTCTTGGAGTCTGGCAAAGCTTGTGGTCCAGTAATTTCAGGCAGCATCATTCTCTACAGGGCACTGGGCCATCGTTACTGGGGGAGACTGGATGAAGACACTCCCACCCCCAGCTCTCCAGCCTGGCCTGGATCATCAGTAACATGCATGAGAAACAGGAAAGCAAGTAGAGGATTGTATCAGGAATCCTGATCAGTCTCCTGAGAAGCCTCCAAAATATTTATTTGGAGGAACATGGAGCTTTTGAGATTAGACTGGGAAACCCACATAGTCTCCAAAGACAAGATCTACAACACCAAGACTCTTCAGAAGTGTTGAGACAGACAGAAGGCAGCCAGAGTACATTCCCCAGATATTCACATGCTCTACACACAGCGCCCAGCCTGGTACTGACTAACCAGAATGGAACATGCAGTAGTTTCTGTACAGGTTTCCAATATTCCTGACCAACCCCCACACCCCCCACCACCACAAAAATAAGTATGGCCAGTTCTGCAAGTTGGTTATCTTCTTGGGAGACCCATGGGAATGGTTGGTTATTTTACCTCTGTTCACCCAGAATTATTTGACCTGTTTTTTTTTTTCTTTCCCTTACTAAATGGTGCATAGTATATACAGAACAAATTGGTGAAGTCAGAAAGAGTGAACCAGTGAACACTTCTAGAGGTCATTAGATTAGAATCAATGAATTCATAGCCAAATTAAACTGGGTTGTAGACCCCATTCAGAGCCATTAGGCAGAAGCACACATTGCTGAACCAAAGACATACACCTTTTTATTTAATAAGAGAAATGGGTGTACTGAAGAAACTTTCTGGAGTCTACTGCCAGAGGAAGTACTAAAGGCTTCTCCTCAGGACAGTCCACAGCTTGAAAAGCAAAACAAGGCATTTTCTCTCAACCCAGCTTGGAATCATATTAGTGAATGAACAAGAGGAAAAGTCAATACAGTAATTTGCTTTCTAAATGGAGGAAATTGCATCTTGATTTCCCTGGAACTGGCCTGAGCTCAAGCTGTCGCCCATCAACCTAACTAGCATAAAGAATACTTTCCTAGGAACATATCTGGCTAAAAAAAAAAAAAAGAAAAAAAAAAGAAAGAAAGAAAAGAAAAAAAACCTTCAATATTTTGATGTGAGCTTAAATATTTCCCTAATCATTAGTTTTAAACTGTGGAAAGGCTTGGTACAACTTTGTGCTGTCTGGCTTTGGGAGTTTTGAAAATGTATCTGTGGTGGTTAGTCTGGACTGTCAACCTGATGGGGTTTAGAGTCACCATGAAAACAAGCTTCTGGTGTATCTGTGAGGGAGTGTTCTAGATTACAGTGATTAACAGGGAAAGCCCTCCTTGTACATTTCAGGCTCTGGGTCCCAGGTCCTCAAAGGGAACGGAAAGCCAGCAGAGCAGGAAGTGCATTCATTTCTCTCTGCTTCCTGATTGGATGCAATGTAACCAGATGCCCCAAGCGCCTACTGCCGCCTACTTCTCCATGAGGGAAAACATCCATTAAAATGTAAGCCATAATAAACCTCCTCTCTTAAGTGGCTTTTTGTCATGGCAACAGGAAGAATAACTAATACAGTATCTTAGCTAGCTGTTCACTTAACAAATTTCCTAGAATGAATATTCCATATCAGGTTTCCATCAGTCAATGCACATTTGCTGAGGACCTACAGTGTGTAGGCTGTTGTCTTAGACACAGGAATTCATAGTGAATTCAAGAAAAATTCCTGTCCCGACAGCCTTGTATCACAGTGATGGACTTTAATACAAGTCTGTATATACCCTATTCCCCAAATAAAAACAATCCTACATATGCTTTCATTATAGTATCCCCTGTGTCAAATGGGTATTTGCGGTATGCAGTACTGACACCATATAATACTACCCTAGTTCAGCCAGACAGTATAGTCTGGTGGCATTGACTTGGCCAGTCCCTCTTTCCACTAGCCTAGTTCTCTCTGCCTGTTTATTCCTTTTCCTTGGATCCCATTTGCCCGTCATCAATTTACTCCTTCTTTTTTTTTTTTTTTTTGTTTTTGTTTTTGTTTTGTTTTGTTTTTGTTTGTCCAAGGCAGGTTTCTCTGTGTAGTTTTGGTGCCTGTCCTGGATCTCTTGCTCTGTAGCCCAGGCTGGCCTCAAACTCACAGAGATCCGCCTGCCTCTGCCTCCCGAGTGCTGGGATTAAAGGTGTGCCACCACCACCCAGCTACTCCTTTATTTTTATGGAGCTTGTTCCCGATTATGGATTACTAGTGGCTCTTTGGGAAGAATTCTAGATCAGAAATCATTTTTACTGCACATTTAAAAAATGTTCTCTACTGTCTTCTATTCCCAGTGCAGCCTTTTGTTGTTAAAGAATCATAGACCTCCATTTCCTCCTCACCAGTGTTCTAAAGTGCCCTTAGGATGTGCCTCCATCCTCATTCATTGTCTGAATACTCAGAATACTTGCAATCTGAAGTTCCATGCTCTTCAGTAGGACATTTTCTTGTTTTCTTTGATAATTCTCTCTCTCTCTCTCTCTCTCTCTCTCTCTCTCTCTCTCTCTCTCTCTC